AAACCAAATCAGCTTTTCACTGTCCATGAACTCTCACTATTTATGCAGTTTTGGTTGATGATTTTTGTTTTTCTTTACTTCTGTATTCTGTGAGATTTTTTTAAGCTGAAAGGCTTCTTTTCCCTCTCTTATTCTAGAATTCTTTTGAATGAATTTTTTAAAGTTCTTCAGAGATTTTTTTCAAAGTACAGAATAGAAGCAAAGGCCTGTATCTATAAAGAAGGAACTGGCAGATATCAAACTTTATCAGTGTAGGTACTGAATCATGAAAACAGGTAAGTAGGAGTGCTAGTCACATGACCCACTATAACTCGAGGAAGCTCAAGTGAAATAGTTGGAAATGCAGGAGGTGGGACCTTTGTATTCCCTTTCTTTTAATCCCAAGTCTTAGTTCTTGCTGGCCAAACTGAGGTGGGCACCTCTCTTAGACGGGATCCAACTCTGACCCCAGGATGCTGCTTTGGGTCTCATAAAGAAACCCAGAAATATGGTAACACAGAACCTTAAGTTTGGTCTGCCCAAAGGGCCATATCTGTTAAGTAAAATGAGAAGTATCCCTAGGGAAATAAGTTCATTTCTGTTGAATGAGTGAGTTCCCTAATAGGAATTCCTGTTGAAATCAATGCTTTAAGAGAGGTTTGGGAAAGGAGAACTACACTTTTCCATTTCCAGCTGCTCTTCCAAGAGCACTTTGGGTCAGAATGTTCTCTCAGACTGGGATTTCATCTTTCCAAAATGCCTCTGTCTTATTCTATCTTATGCAAAAGGCTTTTATGAGTTGCCTTATGTATTGGCTCCGGCTGAGCTTGAGTTCATTTCCCCATAGTAGATCTCACAGTGCTGTGCTTTGCATTGGTAGCTAGAAGGGTGTTGATAACACACTGGTGTTTTGACTACTGCTGAGCACAGCACCAGCACTGTAACATTCCTTCCTCAATCGAGGGCAAGATCCTGGGAGGGGACACAAGTAGGCCACCTGACCCAAACTGACCAAGGGGATATTCCATACCGTATGACATCAGCTCAGGTATAAAAGCTATGGCAAGGAGCAGGAAGGCAGACATTCATTGTCTCCAATGGCTGCCAGCTGAGGAACCATTATGCGTGCTGATGTCCTGCTTCTTGGAAGTGGCCAACCATTACTGCTGATGGGAAGTAGAAAACAAATCATGTTATCTTTCAACTTGCTTTTGTGTGTGCAAGCTTTCACCTAGCTTCTGCTTTAATAAACTGCCTTTTCCCAACCCATGAGTTGTTTTCCATCTTACTCTCTCCCCTGTCTGGCTCGGAAGGGGAGTAATTGAGTGGCTGGATGGGTACCTGGCATCGAGCCAAGGTCAACCCACCACACCTTAGTGTGGTCAACCTACCACATCTAGTAATGCCCAGTAAGGTTCTACCAAGTCACTGGTAGATGTGTTGACCATGCTGCTGCCTGAAAAGGGACTTGTTACATAGCAAGGCAAGTTTGCACAGACCATAATCTGCATACTGTCTTCTAAAGAAAGATGGCTCATGCCAAATTTTTTTTATCTTGAAGATCCAGCATCACTCTGAAAACAAGCACCAGTAATTATTGCTTTTTCAAGCTTTTAGTAATCAGTCACCTGGCTATTAATAATTCCTTAATTTTTACACTGGTCAGCATACACTTAACAGATCAAACAGAGTTTTGTCTATTCTTTCATTAAACTAAAAAACTACATCAATAGTACAATATGAATAGAATATTTGCCTGTTATTCAAATTCCATGCTATATCTTTGATGTGTAATTGATACAGACAACCTGATCTCTTTGTGGAGTAGAAGATGCTGTAGAAATGCAGCTTAGTCATGCCTTTCTGGTGTGGTATTCTCAGGACATAGACTGCATAATTGACTACAGACATCTTAGTTTAACAGGCATCTTTTAAGTTTCATCCAGTCCTAGTAATATATATACAGTCCCATGGGCTGCATCCAAGGATTATGCTAATTTTATTAGCAACTCCTCTTGCTTTAATTAAACTGTATAAATTCCCACCTGGTCACTGTTGTGCCAACACCCTTCTTTCCATTTTTATTTCAATTTATAGATAATCTGTAGTTTTGTACTTCAATTCTGATTTCCTGAATGATCCATCACATTTTCCACATGAAATAACACAATTTTGAGGGATGAATGGGACTTCAAATTGAATTAATGGGTTTGAGGAAACCTCTGGGTCAAAACAAAGACCTAAGTTTCTAAAGTTGGCCAAGTCTTTTTAGGAGTAGGTATTCAAAGTAACTTGCTCTCTGAAAACACCAAGCTATATGCTGCTTTTCAAAATACCTACAAGCAAGCTCTATATTAACATTTACTGTGTCTATACCACAAAGTAGAGCAATATGAATTCCTTAGTGGACTGTTAATTTACATGTTATACACTTTCAAATATTTCCAAAACAAATGTGAAATGATTAGTAATCCGTTCTCATGCTCACAAAATGTTATTAGCAAAATGCCTTGGGCAGTATGTTATGTTGACTAAAATTGATAATTTTGTATTTTAAAACTAAAGCAACTCCCACTCCCCCTGACAAATTTTAGGACCTCCCCAGAGTCCAGACCTCCTGGTCACACCAGTTTTCAAGGTGTGAGTTGAGCTGAGGGGGAAAAAGACCAAAACCACCACAAACGGCACTCCCCCACACACCCAGAGACGTGACCTAAGGTTTGCAGTGATTTCAGCTCTTCTGAAAGCCTCACTAAAAGTCTTCTGTGGAGTCCTGCAGTTTAAAATAGCTTGCTATCCATAAAATCACTATGAAGAGGTGATTTTTGTGTTTTCCACTCATTCTGCTTGTGTAAGTTTTAAAGTGTGTGTGTTGCACTGAAGAAATCAAGCCTGGTGGTTCTTTTTACTTCTGCATAACTGTCTGTATCCAACTGCACATGGTTCTGACAGAGCCAAAGCCCTGGACAAAATATCTCATACTCCTCAAACTGCTGAGGTTGTTTTTTCTTTAAAGAAGACCAAAGAGCAAGCTATTTAATGGTATTTGTCAACATATCTCTATTTTGAATAATGGTTTCCATGCCTTGCAGCCTCAAATATAACATGACACTTCCTCCTAAATGCCAATTATTCTGTCCAGTGGAGTTGTCCAAAAGTCTAGTCCTCAAAGTTTCACACCAGACTGACATGGGATATTAAAATTCAATAAAAACCGTTGTGATGGTAAGATTGTGCAAAAAAACTATGCAAGAGATGAGTATTGTTTCTATGGGTGCAACACACTTTCCAGCAATTTACATTTACATCTATGAAGTAATTGAATAAAGAAATGCATCATCATTATCTTTTTTGGCACATAGGTGAAATATTTTACCAACATATGAAGGGGTGTTCATATAACATCATGGTGCTTTGTGCTAGAGAAAAACAATTACAGTGAATAAGGTAGAATAGCTCTGTTATTGCAGTACATAAGACTTTGATTACATGCTGCCAAGATTCATACCAGCCTAGTAGTTGTTGACAGATAAAGTAACAAAAATGAAACTCATTTATTTTTTCTTTATTGAGACCTCAAGGTAAAGCAAATTTTCAGCTCTTGTACTTACTACATTGAAGGAACAGAGACTGACAGTCAAAATGTGCCAGTGCAGAAATATAAATTAAACCCAGTTTCATATCAGAGTTTCATTTAGTCTCTGAAAAGGAGCTGCTGCTTGGATTATTTTTGATCCTAAAACAAATACACTGTAGACAACCATAGGGTATCTAGGATGAATTAACCCCCTCATACATTTAGCTTTTACATATTTGCCAGGATATAGATCAATGTTGATTCAAGTAATTTAAAAATTTGTTATGGACATAATTATTTTATATATTTTTTCTGTTTAATTATAATTTATTGTGTTTGCAAGCCCAGTAAACATGTGGATGGTTTTAATAGTGTAGCATTTTTGCTGAAGAAAGGACATACTTTGAGGAAAAAGTCCATCCTCCCTCCTTGTATAAGGAAAATTCTTCTGACTTTTATCGTGAGTTCCTCTAGGCAGCAAGATGCTGCTCCCGGGCAACCAACAATAGGACAAGGGGACATGGGCTCAAGCTCTGCCAGGGGAGGTTTAGGTTAGATGTTAGGGAAAAAATTCTTTACAGAGAGGGTTATCAGGCATTGGAACGGCCTACCCAGAGAGGTGGTGGATTCACCATCCCTGGAGGTTTTTAAAAAGAGATTGGACGTGGCCCTTAGTGCCATGATATAGTAATTGGAGTTGGATCAGGGGTTGGACTTGATGATCTTGGAGGTCTCTTCCAACCCTACCTATTCTATGATTCTATGATTCTATGATTATTTCTTGATAATTCTAACAAATGACTTTTTTTGTAAACTTGTTTATTTTCTAAAGAGCAGATAAAATTAGCTGTTAAAATAGGAAGTGCTAACATGATTTGATTTACCCCATCAAAATCTTGGATTAGTTACCTAGTCCAACTGAGCATAATTGCAGTTCAGATTAATGAGGCAGTATCCCAGTATCTCCTCTGTAATTAAATACTTCTCTGGTTGAATACGGTATTAAAGATGCACAAGACGTTGAAACCTCAGTGGTGAAATTTAAAACTGTTGAAACTGGAGGGGTCAGCTGTGAAACACAAATTCCTCTGCAGTATGGATAATTCACTTGTACAATGTGTTTCAAGAATAATTTGGCTTATGTTGGGGGTGCTGGATTTTTTAAAAATTTTTCTTATCTTTCCGTCATCTAAATTTGAGAATTTTTTCTCATTAGTTCCTGAGCAAAAGTAACATAAAGTGCACTTGTTTCCAGAATTACCTTTTCTGACCTTTCACAAGAAGATAATTGCAGTACCAGTAGGCTTAGAGGACTTGTTAAAAAAATTAAGCTTGTAAAGTAGCAAAAAATGCCCCTTTGCTTGCTGGTGTCGATTTCAAAATTAACATTTTAGTTCATGTGCTTCTAATAATCGCTGACCCTTACTTCATGTGCTTTCCACAGGAAATGAATACAGCAGAAATTACTTTGACCCGCTGATGGATGAGGAAATAAACCCAAGGCAGTGTGGGATGGAGGTCAGTGAAGAAGGTGAGGCAGAATTAAGTATGTAATTTTGGTGTCAGAATATTCCTTTCCATTCATGAAAATGAGGTGACAGAGATCACATATGCAGTTCTATTTAAATATTGAGGTTTACAATTTAAATTCTAAGCCTTAACTGCTCTGAACAGGATAGGCAGTATACATAGTCTTTGATCAAGGACAGTGAGTTAATGGGCGGGTGAAAATGAGGCTGCGCTGTATTCGCTCTGCTACTGTAGCAAAAAGAATCATGCTCCAAGAGTATTGTCTACATCATGTTCTCTTTAATTAATGAAGTTAGTCCAGAACTGAGTGCTAAGCTGCAGTTTTTTCGTAACCCTGCTCCCAAAGTCCTCCTTGGAGAACAATTTTATTACTGAGTTGAATGTGTGTTTGCCTAACAGAAGGAAACCCCAGACTGCACAAAAGTGCATGAGGAGGCTTTTTTGTTATTTTTTTTTTCCCCTGGTTTATTCGAGATGTTTAGCTTTGCTGCCTGCGGACAACAGGGACAGGTGGGAGGGTGTGACTCTGCAGAGATGGAAGAACAGAAGTTATGCATAAGTATGAGAGAGATTAACCAGGAGGTATTGTCTAGTAGAGGAAATTCTCCTCTGCTGTCATGGCTTTTAGATAAAAAAGGGTGGGAACGGGCCTGCCTGAATTTGCATGGACTTAAGTAAGAACATCATCATGGTAATGAAGTGCTTAGCTATGCTCTGAGTGCTTTGGCCCAGCTCCTGTTGTTAAGCCCTAACAACCTGATAGCATGCAAGATCCAGTTCTTCGCTTCTATCCCTTTGTTTTTTTAAAGTGTGCGCTTATTTGTACTGCAGAGACTCTCTAGTTGTGCAGATGTAGTCAGATTATAAAAAGTTATTTACTACAAAGTGTTCCAAAGTAGTTCAGTTCTGAAATTCATGAGAAACTTTGAGGATATATGAAGGTTTTAAACTTTTGAGACAAAAGCTTGTGTAACTTAAAAAAACCAGCCTATAATGCATATCAGTAACTTGAATTTCTGTGTTAAAAAAAATCAGGGGTTATCAAGATTGGATTACATCTCATCCTAATAATTTCCACATTCATTGTATAGGACAGCAGTGTAATACCTTGGAAGTCAACTTCTAACTCAGAGTTTTTAAATGAAAGATTTTTTTCCTGTTGGTCCTGCATTGGTTTATCCTGCGAGTAGGCCTTGTGAGTCAAGATCTGCTTCATAACCAGAAAATGAAAAGCAGATTAAATTTCTGTGTCTGTACATGTGTGCCTAGTTGCAACATAAGGGATATATGGAAGGACAGTTCTCACTGGGAGAAAATGTTCTCTTGACTGTGTTGAAGAGTCTGAGTGATACACTTAACCTTAAATATTGATTTTGTATTTTGTGGTAGAGGTTCTATCTATTTACTTATTTTAAAATTGGGAACAGAAGAAGGCTCTTAGAAAGTCCATTGAGTTCTTGGTTTCAGAATGGGGAGGCAGTTTTAGGCAATTGCATATCATGCTAAACCTGAGGTCCATGTGTAAACAGCTGTCCTTTGGTGTTCCTTCTTTTTTTTCCTGGCAAAAATGTAATTTATATGTTGAAATAACACTTGCTTATTAAAAGTCTATTGGCAATAGTACTAGCTTCAAGTACTTGGTTGTGTTGACCTCTGTAGAGCAGTTATAATGGCATATTTACCAACGCCTCTGCCAAGAGCAAGTCTTCTACTTTGGAGATATTCCAAAGCAGCCTGGACAGGGTCCTGGAAAATTTTACTCTAGGTGACTCTGTTTGAGCAGGGGCAACTGGGCTAGATGGACTCCAGAGGTGCCTTCCCATCTTAACAAGTCTGATTTGGTGATACTCAAAAACCAGACTGACTGGCTTCCTTTTCCTTGCAGAAATGTTAAATAAGTGGAACTACATTTATATATAGTGGATGGAGATAAAAGGATGGTCAGAACTGCATAGTCCTGCATAATCATCCCCTAACTGGAAACCTTATTGATTTATCTCCTCTTTCCAGCTAGCAGCTTGCCACAAGCAAAAGCCAAATCCAGAAAAAGATGAAGAAATCAGAGCACATTTTAAAGTTACACTCTTCTTATGACTTAAGAAAGTCAGGCCCAATTCCCAAAGAGAATAGCCGGTGAAAAGCAAATCTTCAGCCACTAATTCTTCTTTAATGGGTTATTTTGTGAAAATAAAGATGTTGACAATTATTTTTTCTACCTTTGATAAATTGTATTCGTTCTGGACATTTTTCTGAGTTAATAATGCTCTGAGAACAAACAACTTCTCACTATGGATTTGCTTGACCCCTTCACCAGGGGGACATTTCAATGTTAAATGTAAAAGATTCTGTGCTTTCAAAAGAGGTTTGCAGAAGCGAACACCTTCTTTGAATGCTCAGTGTAACAGAAAATTTGGCTCTGAAATTTCATGGTAAAGAAAATTTATTCTTTGAGGTTCTATCGAGCACTTAAAAAAAGCCACTCAAGGTTGCTTGTAGCTGTACTTCAATCCACCTGTCTTGTATGCATTTCTTTGGCCTTCTATCTGCCTGTCTTTACCGGCAGCTTACAGAAGTCACAGTCTGGGAGATCTGGAGAGAAGATAGTCCCACTTGCTCATTTCACCCTTGAATATAGACCTTTAAGGTGATATTTTTTTTTTAGGTCTCGTGGAAAAAGGTGAATGTGCATGTCCTTTGCTGCTTTTTAAAATCTACAGATATTACTGACAATTGGAATGACTGACCAGCCTCAGAATCAAAATTCATAGTGTGCTATAATTACTCATACTAATATTATACACATTAGTATTATGGAGAGCAAGGTAAAATTTCTGATGAAGATCCAAAATCACATTAGAATAGAAATCGGGTATTTTGATTTTCATAGAGAGTCAAACAGAATTCATCTGACAATTTGAATATAAACAATCTTTTCAGCTACCCTATTAGCAGAATTAATAAACCAGTTTCAGTCCAGATCAACGTATAATTATGCTCACCATTTAAAAATATATGATATTATATTTTTTATTTTAAATTATCTTTCACAGAAGAGGTGACTGTAATTTTATTCTAAGCTCTGAAAGGAGCACTGTCTAAACTATCTTTAAGTGTTAAATGGCTTCCTATTTTTATATCCTACTTTTAGTTTAAAATAATGTTTCCTGAAATACGACAGGAAGAAAAATAGCCGTTTCACTGTTGTTTTTTTTAAGATCCTGTAAAATCTGATGAACAAATCCTGTACTCTAAACTGATGAAGCTTCTAGATGAAGAAAACAAGATGCTGGACTTCCAAGGTAAATAAGAAAATCAGTTGCATAAAGGAAAATAAAACTCTTCTGAGTCTGCATGTGGGGAGGAGAGTGAGTAATCCATCCCCTTGAACTCAGAAGTTAAAGGGATGCTGATTTTAATGCAAGCCTGTAAGGTCTCTTTCTCCAAATGTTTTTGTTTTGAGTCATGTTTATGTGGTTTAAAGTGTAACTTAAGTGGCATGCTTTCTCTAGATTACTTCACTGCATGCTGAATTACACACTTAGGAAAGAAGACTGGAAATACCATTGTTTATGCAGTCAAATCTAGAAATCCAAATCCTTTCTTAAGCTGATAAATGGGTGGACCATTTCTCAGATACACAAGTGACATCACACTGTTTAAGGTTATCTATATAAGGATTTACAGTAACATATGAGCAAAAAAATATTTTCTGTGACTTTGTTAGAAAATACATATTGATGTTCCATCTGCAGTAAAAACAATAAAGTATAGGAGACTTCTTCACCTCAAGCCAACAGCCTTACTTTGGCTTCACTTATTTTTACAGGCATTAATAAAAACCTAGTTGATTCATGAGACTATTACCTTTACACTCTTTACATGAGGTCCACGTCTACTGCTCTCCTCTGGTTCATCCTAGGAGAAGTGACATTTGTACAAGCCCCAGCTCTGTCCTGCCCTTGTATTTTTATGTATCCCCCCTCTCCTTTTTCAGCAAAGGTCTTTTGTGCAAAAGTATTTTCTGTTCTTTGTATCTGTATGAAGTTTCCTGTTGTATTTCAACAATACACAGGGCCTACTCTGTCAAAGAGACCAAGTAGGTGGTTGTCCACAGCACTGGAGCTCCAGGAGCTGCAACATGTTTTATGATTATTTAGTTTATAGGCATCTTTGCTCTAGAAGATGCAAATGTTTTCATTCACCTAGGGTTGAAAAATCTCTTGAACTGGCACTGGTCATATCAGTAACATCTTTGAAACCCGTTTTGCCTCATCATAAATGCAAGGAAAAAAAGTGCAACCATCACAACTAAATTCATGCAGATAGTTTAAGCAAAAACCTTTAACAAATTATCAGCAAGCTCTCTATTGTTGTATGTTAATATAGAGATCCACATTACTGAAAAAGATTATAGCAATGCTGCAGGTTGATTGTTGCTTTCATCATGCAACAACATAGATGAAAATAAAACCATATTTGGCTGTGAAGCCAACATTATTTCTCTATGAAAGATTGACATGGGGTATCTATCTGTGGTACTTATCTAGTCCCTGTTTACAAGTGTTTATAGCATTTCATATTCATCAGTAAGTTTATCATCAAAATAATGCCGTATGATTAAGGACAATGCCCTGATGTCATTTTATAGGCTGCCTCAGGGTGGGGTCTAGTACCCTTTACATTAGCTTTCTGAAAGTTTAGTTACTGGGGCTCCCCCAAAGTGGTGAGAGAGGGAGGGAGAAATACCTCTGGGCAGTGGGTCAGCTCACCTCACACAGACGGATCTTCATTGGTTAGAAGAATTACACCTTGGAAGCTGTTTTTCTCTTTCCTTTGGCTCTAGAAGGATCTTGGACAACTAACTTAGACTTGACCATTACTTTTTGGGTGGCTAAAGTGAAGGGGCAAGCAAATGCATTAGCATGCATGTCTCATGCTCCATATGCACGAGTCCCCTGGGTAGGCATTAGGGAGTTGGAGCAAGTTGGGGAGGCACAGCAGACCACTGTGTTATGTGTCTTAAGCAGTGCCTCAGTGCTTTTAGGTCTTATGAGTGCTGTAATGGGTATCAGAGCTAGTCCTGTGTGTGAAGTAGCACACTGTTCTAGCTGAACAGAAAAGAGAAAGATTTTCCTGAGGAAGTGAGGTTTCTGCAGTTTCCACCTCTGTGTGCACGTATCAGGGTGTATTTATTTCTGCCTGGTTTTCCTTCCCAATTTTTGAACTTGTTGTTCATTTCCAAACCTCTCTTTTAACAGAGACCAAGACTCACAGGTATGACTTCCCTACCAGTTTTGTTGAAGCAGGCAGTTGAGCAGAGAAGACAAGCATTATTAATGTCTCCACTGAGGGAAAAGCTAATATGGGAGTTTGACCCTTATTAGACATCAGAAAATCAGTATAAAACTAGGATTCATTTGGTTCCACTCTTACAGAACTGCTTCGTTTCTTCATTTGACCACTGAGCTGAAAAATCACATAATCATATAGTCCTAATTAATAGATGATCCCCAAAGGAAAGGAAAGAACATGGCTCAAAATTTATATAATTTTATATTTAAGTATTTTGTTGCTGAATAACCTGTTGATCATTCTTGTGGTATGCATTAGTTCATACTATAAGGCAATTAAAAAGGCAACATAGGTGGTTTGATTTTAAAAATGTACACTGTATATTTTTTACCTAGTGATAAAATCTCTCAAACAATGTAATATTGTGATCCATGCACATCTTAAATGATGCTAGGTGAATACCATAAAAAAATAACTATTATATATTGTTCTTTGGCAAGAACCGCAAAATTGAAATGCCAGGTTTTGCAGCATTTTAGTTATCTGAAACCAATGCATGAACCTTTGGCAATGCAGTTCTTTAGATACAATTTATACACAATTTTTTAGAACCAGGTAGACAAAATTCTTTTTCCGTGTGGAGTGTATAGCAGTTTTATGCTTTCAAACCTATGCTGAGGTGTAGTCTGCTGCTGAACCTACCCTTTAAATTATCATCTCAGTATATAAAGTGCTGCTATCTGATGAACAAAGGCAGGAGAAAATGAAGTCACAAGCAGCCAAGTTAATACCGGAGAGATTGTTTTAGTTACAGCACAACACCTGCAGATACAGTCTGTGCTGAGGAGGAGCAGTGATTTAAACTACAAGGAAAGTATGACTTGTGGTGCTAAGTACAGCCGAGGCAATGAAAAGTTTGGATGCCCATGCTAACAACTTGAAGCAACAAGTTTTTAATTAGTTTATCAATCTATTAATGAATTTCCTCATAAATTTCCAGCCATTTCATTCTGTGTATACAAAGTAGTAGATGGGGCTACTTTTGTACAAGGAGGGGTTGATTGTTTTGTTTTAGTCAAGTATTCCTCTGGGGCATCACTCGAGCCTCCAAACTGTGGATCAGTTCAAACAAGGACCAACCTAATGATGAGCCAGTTTGAGAGGTTTCTTTGTAAAGCCACTGTGAAAGGAGTAGACTGGCTGAACTAACCCTGTTCTCTCGCTGTTTCTGACTCAGGCAAATGAACAATTTTTCCAACTATGTTTAAATGAGCATATGTATCAAATATTTTTCAAATCTAAATTGTAATTTAACTCTGTATTTTTAGCAGTTGCTTCCCTTGAAAAGGTCTTTTAAAATGTTCTTTCTCTTCTTTTGTTCTTTTTCCCCAAAACTTGTGCTAATTAGCCCAGTGTCTCCTACCAAAACTGAGTTCGTTTAATATGACTCCTCACAAAATAAGAAACACACAAAAAAAGAAAAAAACGATATTTTGATTAATTGTTTCATGGTTGTCTTTCTGAACCAGGTGGTTTTATTTTGTTTTGATATGTAGGGACTATCTCTCTACACCCAGAGAATCCTGAAATACTGACTTCCCAGGGCGCAAACTTGCACCGCTCCTGTGAAAGTAGTAAAGCAGCTGATTTAGACCAGCTGAGCGTATGGCCTGTTGTGCACAACACAGCATTGAAGGGAACAAGACATGCTTCATCTTCTGCTTTTGGCAATGTTTCTTTTTCCAGTGCTTTCTGGGTTTTCTCTCTCTAGCCAAACCCTTAATGCTACATAAATTTAAATGTAAATATTGTTTTGTTTTTGCAGTTAATAGTGTAGGTCAAATCACTTTTCATTAGGCTTGTAAAATTCTACATGAAGAGATGTGTACCCTAAGGTAATGGTTTAGGTTGTTTATATCTACTGTACACTTCCCCCAACATGATTTTGAATTGTATCCTGTTGTAATTAAATAAAAAAACCCACCCTACTTCCTGTGTGTTGGTGGCATCGAGGTGATTTAAGTACTCGGGAGGTTCAACAATTAAAATCATTAAACAACGAGTAGTGAGCAAATCTGAAAATGTTAATAGCCTTAGTTTTATCTTTCCTTTTCTGGTCTTTATTAGAGAATGAAAGACTTCAAAGGGGAGTGAGGAAAAAAATCCTCTTTTAACTGCTTTCATGTCACAGGATGGACAAAGAGAAGTAAATAACTAGATATGGCAGTTTCTCAAAGAGATAGGGACAGAGAACTATAAAAGCTTACACACAAAAATATGAAGCAAGAAAGTCAGATATGGGCAATCTGATATCTGTCATTTTTTTAGTGATTCTTACATGGAGAAATGAGCAAAAATAGTTGTTGCTAATTTATGGTCCAAACTAGTATTATACTGTACCAGATATCAATGAGAAGATCTATTTTTTTTAATGTAGCATGATCAATTAAACTGAAAAAAGGACAAAGTTTCTCTTTAAGGGTGAATTTATGAATGGGTTTTATTTTTATTTATGCATGGCATGTACCCTTTGGTTCTTCATTTGTCATCACAGTGAAATCAGAGGAATGATGTGGGTGAGAACAGAACTGGACCCAATTAATTAGGCAGGAGTTGCATGCACACACCTAGGAAAGTAATCCAATCATTTGGGGGAGTTGAGAGGATGATGAAATGCTTGGTGTGGCTTCACCTAAAACTCCCCAAAACCTCAATTACAGTTATTACTCCTGAAATCCAAGGTTGTTCCAGATCCCAGTCCCTTTAAGATTTACAGGGGAGCAAAGTGCCCGTAGAAAGGTAGAGCATGCCTTTTAAAAATGATTTATGGAACAAGCTGCACATGCTAAATTTGTACCTGAATGCAGATGTTGCACTCGAGGACAGTTTTTCTGGTACTGGCACTTGGCACTCACCAATTGTTTTACTGATGCTATTTATTACTGTTCATTTTATGGCGTGAATTGTTGTCTTAAAATGTTGGTGAGCCAAACATATTAACTGAGAAGATACTAACTAGTGAATAAACTCCCATTTGCTAAGAGATAATCTTCCACTTTTGTTTCAAGCAGCCCACGTCGTCAGTGAAGATTTTCCAGAATCCGTGATGCCTGTCAGCTCCAGTAAGGCATGTGACCTTCACAGGGAGCTTGAAGATGAAGAGATTCCTTCATATATTGAACAGTTTGAGAGAGATGTTCAAGATGACATAATTCTGCTTGGCAGCTTTTCACTGGAACAGGTCAGAGTTAAGAACTGTAAGACAATTTTATCGCTTGCTTTATAACATGATGCTAACTTGTTAACCTTGTACACCCCAATTCTATTTCTCTGCCTGGTGATACATATATTGAAAGAGGAAAAGATAACCACTTTCATTGGCATGCTTTATGTGACTGGCACTTTGCTAAGCTAGCAACAGGACCTTTATCTTTGTCTCCATTTCAATGTGAATTAAAATAGATTGCCTTAGTTGCTTCTTTCCTAAATAGTGGAGTATCTCTGACTGCTCTGTAGTAATATTGCAATTGAGTTTCAATCAAGAGACTAAGCTTAGAGCATCTCTCTCTGCCAAATTTAACAGAGGGTTATTCATCTATCAGTGAACAAGTTCAGACTGGAGCACATGGAGGATTTATGTAGCAATGTTCATTGTACAGTGGATAAGACTATTCCCTAATTATAAATTTGTTATGATTTTCAGGGTGGTAAAACTTTCTAAGGTTTTCTTTTTGTCATTTCATAGTGGAAAGAGGCGGGGTTGGGAACATGTTGACAAAGGCACAAGTTTTCAGGGCTGAAATGATACTTGTGGGCACCTAACTACCATTTGTCCCTTTGAAAAATCTCATACTAAGACTAGAAGACAGGAAGAGAAATTAATTGATGAATCTATCATTTTTAATTAGCAACATGAGAACAGCATGCTGGCTCTGATGGGCTTAAAATAGGTTATCCAGTGACTGATGGTGATCTAAGCTTTTTTTATTTTCAGAAAACTTTTTAGATTTTTTTTCACTGCAGGACTAAACCTTATCATTGCCTTCGCATGTTGGTGAGGGACAGAATTCTCTTCCTTACTGCTTTCCTCTAAATCCTGAAGCTATATTTCATTCCTTCAGACTTTTTTATAGCTGCATGCATCATGAGCGGAAGGTGGTATGGGTAATTTTGTTCAGAGAGTATGAAATGGGAGGGAAACATGAGGGAAAAGGACTCAGATGGTACTAAGACCCTCATCTGCCTCAAGGGACTGATGGAGTATAAATCCAGGAATAAGAGAACAGAGAGTGCTGCACCTTTCCAGAAGGTTATAATATGTTCAGAGTTTGCACTATAACTATGCTCAGGCTATTCAGATGCCCCCAGAGCTTCATGAGGCTCTGTGACACCTAAAGGAACACAATACTTTGTTTACACTCCCTCTAGACATGGTCACTGTGAGGCTGATCATCTTACCTGGACTCTTTTTGGAGGTGTTCAGTGAAGTTTGTTTACTAGACAGAAACAATATATCTGGTCATCACAAAACAACATCCTGCTTTTTAACTGCATATATGAATTCACATGTAATGCAATATAATACTGCTTTTCTTCCTTATATTATTCCAAAACAAAGAAAATTCTAATTTAATGTGATTAATTGAGCTGGTCTACCATGAGCATTCAGAGAGGGACTCAACACTTTTTACTGCAAGGAAGAGGTCTTGAATACCTGTTCTTTCTATCCACGCTTCTCACACATCTCTAACTTCAGTTGTTCATGCCCTGCTAAGGAATTTAGTCACACTGATATTGTATCAGTTGTCACATCTGCACCCTGCAATGCAGAGAATAAGAAAAGGACCACAGTAAAATCTGTATTCTCTTCTAGATCAGTGATCTTTACATCTGTCTTTTCCTTGCAAGCTTACAGAAATGGTGCATTCAGCCCCTCTGAACAGAAAATGGAAGAGGTGACATGGGAAGTAGAGGCTACAAGTGTGCACATCATGTCATATTGGTATTCAAAGACATCTAACAATAATGTGAGCAAGCTAATTCTTGTTTAATTGATCTTTATTCTTTAATGTACATCTTTACTCTTTAATCTGTGGATATACCCCTGCAGCATTGCAGTGTCGGTGCCTTTCCACAACAGCCACAGGTTCAGTGTTAGACTGCTGCCATTGGTCTTCAGAATCTGTTCCTGACATCTTTGGGTTGCTTCCAGCTTTTGTTGCTTGAACATATGTTTATTGGTTTGTAAAAGTCTTTAATTTTCTGCATGGCATTTACTTCTTATTCAATAGAAAAAGACCCCTTCCCTTCTTTCTGCAGGTTTAGTGAGTAGCAGATGTACTTTAGCCAGCATAATTTATGATTAGTTAATTTAAGCTGCCATAACGACATAAAGTGAGCCTGAAACAAGCTTCTATCAATTTTGCCATTAGAGGTAGCATAATATTTTCAAATGTCTACAAAACTAAGTAATTAACCCTTGGGCTGAGAGAAGGAGTCTAATAGACATCTCTCTCATATTCCTTTGCTTTGACGAAATGAAAACAAAACATGGGAGCCCAAGGGTTAAAAATAACAAGTGAGAGTTTATAGTACATGAGACTGGTTTTATAAGTAAGGTTCAGAAATACGCTGCACTTGCTACTGTTTGTTTTCAGGCTGCCAAAAATTCTCTCCAATAAGGAATCTGATTTACACTAGAGCTTTGCTGGCAGCATTGGTATGAAGAGGATAGCTATGTATCAACTACGTATCCCTTAGTTCATTGTTTTTCTTCTCTGTTTTGTGGCATTACAAAAAATGGGTAACTTTTGTTTCAACAGCAGCTTTGTGCATGAGATTACCACCATTCAAAGTTTTTGAAAGAGCAGATGCATTTTTCAAAATAGTATTTTTTTTTGAAAAAAGGGGTTACTCTAGATTTTAGCTCTGGAACTTCAAGCTTTATTGTTTCTAACTTCATATCCTGTTTTGTAAATGCAAAAGCTGATAGTTGGGGTTGGCAAGAAATACTTAAGGGGAGATCTGATAGATTCTTGTAAAGAAACCATTAAGCAGATGTCCATGTTCTGTTAACAAACACATTAAGGAGTATTAAATTTGGAAAGCACTGCTGCTTCTTATGGCCTGCCATGTAGGTCTAAGGATTTCAAAAGTCGCAATGACGTTTGCTTTCAATAAAGAAAAATAAACTCTGTTGCAGGAAAATCATAACTTTGGGACTGTGTTGTGGTAGAAACTGAGCAGGTACAACCAAGCCTGGGTATGCAGAGTGCCACAGAAAGCCATCTGTTATGAGACAATGAGGGGACATGCTTATGGGCAGAACTTGATCACGCAGAGCAGAGAAATATGCAAGGACATAATGCTGACTTTACATGTTTGATTAAAGATGAGGTGCTCTCAAAACATGAGACTGATGAGGATGAAGCAAACACTGTTGATTGGGGTGAGACTGCACTTGATGGGCCTTTGGGAACATAATTTTGCTATACATTAATTTAAATGCAATGGAAAAATACCAACTCTAGGATTTTCAGCTGGTTCTGAACTGAGATGATAAAAGTGACTACTCAGTTTTATGTAGGTTTTCTCTGAAAAAAAATTAATAATTGGGTGACTGAAAGGATCAGTACTGCCCAAGAACCAGGAATATATTTCCTGTTTGGCCACCCTCTTCCTGCAACTTGGTCAGTGTTCTTTACCAAGGGTAATTTGTTCACAGACCCCATCACTCTCTACAGGTTTCAGATGCTGCATTTAGCCCTCTGTGCAAGGCATAGCACCTTGCAGAACTTGATCATCACAACTATATAATCAGTTTTGATCCATGACCTCAATGAGAATTACTCAAGAGCCTCTGAAAGTAAAGTGCAAATTTTGCTCTTCAGTACCAGCAGTTGAGTTATAGTAGTAAGAAATGAGCTATTTGTTGCAGGTGGATAGTAATAAAATGTCGTCTTTCATCAAAAGATTTACCTTTTGGTTAAACAAAGGTTAATGCCTCAGGGTATTAGACCTAATACTCTTACAGGGTCATTATCATCAGTGCTCTTACTCCTTGCCAAGTCACAGAGATCAATTTATATGATGATGGAGTGATCAGTTTTCCTTTGGTTAATGGTGGATAGCACATGGGTAAAATTCGGTACTATGTCAGATGATAAATTTGCTCTCCAATCACAAATTTAATCAGTGGGATCAGACCTCAGTGATAAAAAACACCAATGCACATTTACTTTCATGTTATACCCCATTGGATAATACTGTCATATAATCATATCAGAGAATGGTTTGGGTTGGAAGGGATCTTAAAGATTGTTTATATCCTGATGGCACCTGCAGACCTCCCCTCATCAAAACTGTAGTCTGACAAGCATTGTACAATCCATTCTGATTGTTCTTCATGAGGATAATCCTTGTAGGAATATATGCACCTAATAGCAATGCAGAGTTGACGGTGATTTTTGAAGGTGACTTTTCCTCAGCCAAAACCTGACTACTATTTGGCATTTGCCAATATTTTAAATGTGTCATATTTTAATGAGTTAGGTTTTTTTGTTGTTGTTGTTTTTGTTTGTTTGCTTACTTGCTTTTTTTCCCTGAGAATTACAGGTCTAGTACAGAAGCTGGTAATGTTTCATGTCTTAAAAGTGGGTGACTTCATTTTAAATAAGCTACTATATGCTACACTCATTATTTGAGTGTCAAAGCATCTCTACAATCAGCTAGTGTAATGGTTTCCATTTAATTTGTGTGATATAGTAGGAATTATGTGTATCTTCTTTAGCACCTAATTTTCTTTTGAAATCTGTAATTAGCCCAAGCTCATCAAATTCACTATAGTTCTACCAGGCAGACTGCTCTTGGACTGGTGAAAAAAAAACATTTTATTGAAAGCTATGTCTTAGGGGGAAAAGCACAAGGCAAACTTCCTGAAGGTTTGGATATTGGGCTTCTGTCCCCTGGACTTCTCATGTTCTGCTTAGTGAGTGTCCATGGCCCTCAGATGTGTGTCAGCAACCATCCAGCAGACCCAAAGCCTGACAGAGATGCCAATACATGTAGCTAGGGGACTTCTCAACCCTGTAGGCTGGCAACTGGAGATTTCTAAATATCTTTATTCTATCAGGCTTGCTCCTCCTTCCTCAGTAGGATCCTAGGAACCCTCAAAATTTCTAAGGTTCCCGCCTCATTGCTTCTGGACACTCAGATATACATTTTACTTTTTTTTTAAAGATT